AAGAGAAGCTTTAAATATTTAGATGTAAACATGGTAAAAATGCTCTATACAACGTTCATACGTCCACATCTTGAGTTTGCGGTCCAGGCATGGTCTCCATTTTTAAAACAAGACATAGACAAGATTGAGAAAATCCAAAAAAGAGCAACCAAACTAGCACCTACAATTAGGAAATTATCATATGAGGCTAGGTTAAATATTATGCAATTAACGTCACTGGAAGAACGTAGACTACGTGGAGATCTGATTCAACAATATAAAATTCAGCATGGCCACGATAAAATAAATTGGGTTGCTAACGATTGTGGAAATGCATTGGAGGAGGGTCCATGTCTGCGACAACACAAATTCAAAATGAGGAAGCCTTTTAGCAGAAATACCTTCAGGTATCATTTTTTCCAAAATCGAGTTGTAAATGCGTGGAACAGCTTACCATCCGAAATAATAGAAGCTACTTCAATAAATAACTTCAAAAACAAACTAGACAGAGCTGGATTTTGCAGAAACTATTTGTTAAAACACAAACAAAAGACAAAATGAGCTGTTACAGTGCAATATCTTATGTTATTGCACTTCGCAACTGTTTAAAACAGTTGTTACAGTTATACCTTATTATAAGAGACACGGTCGTTTAGACTTTAGAAATAAGTGGAAAGTTATTATACGCAAGCGTAGTAGAGTTAAAAATAATTTAAAATTTTAAAAATGGCTACGGATGTAACGTTTTTAAAAACTTATCATTGACAACGAGTAACTTGTTTAATTTTAGATAATTTAATAGGCTTTTAACTATTTTTAAAATAAAATTATTGTGAAAATAACTTGCAGCTTTACTAAGAAATCTTTTAAATAAAATACAAGTCCTCTGAATGTGAATAAAATCTACTTTCAGCTAAAGCTACTTTTACTGTTTTTGTTTATAATCTTTAAACCTTTTTAAAAAAAATTTTGAGCGTAGAAATTTTTAAATTTTTATTTATTCAGCAAGATGAACCTTTTATCTTTTTTGCATTTTTTGCTTTTATGAGGATTCAATTTTTTTTGCAGGGTTAAAATAAAATCTTAATCGTTAACTTTTTGTAACCTGTTGCTACGATACTCCTTTCTGATGTATGTATATATATATATATATATATATATATATATATATATATATATATATATATATATATATATATATATATATATATATATAATATATATATAAAATATATATATATATACATATAATATATATATATATATATATATATATATATATATATATATATATATATATATATATATATATATATATATATAATATATATATATATATATATATATATATATATATATATATATATATATATATATATATTATAAATAAAAACACAAACAAGTTTTGAACTTAAAGCATAACTTTGATAAACTATTTAATTTTTAGATATAAAGCTATATAAAGTTTGTAATATTCGTAATAATGCAATAGAGACAAACAGAAAAAAAAGCATCATTAGTATAATTTAAAAAATATAAATTTATTTTATGCATCAAATAAATATCAATCAACACAAAATAAAAGATCAAAATATAATTCAAATGAAAATATAAATATCTTTTATGCATTAAAAACATTTTTCATTCTTTCAATCTTTAAGTAAAAAATATTTTAAATATATTCATATTGATTTTAACAATCTCAAGCTGAAAACATTAAAAAAAAAAAATTTAAACACGAAACACAAAAAAAATTTATATCGAGTTCCAAGAAAAAGTCTTTCTGCTTTAGTTTACTTTTCCCTTCTTTACAACAGGTAAGTTTCTTTGTTGAAACGCGAATATGGTTGGAATACTAAAAAAATATATACTATAATATTTGTTTGTTTTAAATCAATTTTTATCATAATTTATTAATTTTGAATCAATATGTACAAAACCAGACTGATGATTCAATTGATAGAATCAAAATGATAGCATTCAATCGATAAAATCAAAAACATAACTAATGGTATTGCTTTGATGCAGGCAATACAGTTGATTTATTTGAGGTTATTGACTAAATCAAAAGCCTGGAATAATAACATTCAAAATTTTGATCATAGATAAGTGTGCATAAATATATAATGTATGTATGCGTATATATATATATATATATATATATATATATATATATATATATATATATATATATATATATATATATTAGGATCTTGTGAATTGCTTCGATTCGTGAATCAAGTGTCGCTTCAATTCGAGTCGAAAAAAAAAGATTCAAGTTTTTTCAAATCATATTTTTGCGAATATTGCTGGTTTTTTTAGATTTCTAAAGCTAAAATGTAATTGAAATGGGTTTTTCAAACCAGTGGGGAGAAAGAGTAATTGAAAATAGTTCTAACATCACTTTAAAACAAACGCCAAAAATATAATCTGAGCAAAAAGAATTTGTTCAAAGAAATATTTTTATCTTTTTGGAAAAAAAAACAAACTTATACTTGGTTTTCACAAATAGCTGATTCGATTCATGATTCGATTCACGAATCAAGACCTGCTTTGAGATTCAATTTGAAACAAAAAATGTCAATTTGCAGGGCCCTAATATATATATATATATATATATATATATATATATATATATATATATATATATATATATATATATATATATATATATATATATATGTTACCAACATATAACAATATTATGTTACTATATATGTTACCAACATATAATAATATTATGTTACTAACATATAACAATACTATGCTCTCTTCTTTAAGAATATTGAGCACTCTTTGACAGTCTGTTCAACTCCTTCAGAAGGTTTATCAAAAAAATAGATAAGTGTTTATGTTATATATATGTATACATATATATATATATATATATATATATATATATATATATATATATATATATATATATATATATATATATATATATATATATATAGCCACATCGGAAAAGAGCACCATAGCAACAGGTTACACAAGTTTAATGATTAAGATTTTCTTTTAAGCCTGCAAAAAAAATTGAATCCTCATATAAGCAAAAAATACAAAATAGATAAAAGGTTTATCTTGCTGAATAAATTTAAATTAAAAAATTTCTACGCTCAAAAATATTTTTAAAAAGGTTTAAAAATTGTAAACTATTGTTTTTAAAAAATTGTATATTATTCACATTCAGAGATCTTGTATTTTATTTTTTAAATTTCTTCGTACAGCTGCAAGCTATTTTCAAAATAATTTCATGAAAAAACTAGTTAAAAACCTATTTAATTATCTAAAATTAAACAAATTACTCGTTGTCAATGATTAGTTTGTATAATCCTGTTACCGTAGCCATTTTAAAAAACCTTCAAGAAATGTAATTTCACTGCGCATGCGTATAATAACTTTCCTCTTACAAACGACCGTGGAGACAACTTTTTTTCTTATAAAAAAAAAGATTTTATATGCCAACTTTAATTTTCTTCAAAAAATTTCTTTTTAAGTTGAATTAGGTGCCCCAAGATGTCGTTACGGTCTTATCACAGAGCACCGCGGAAGAGCATTTAATAGAAAGTTCACGCCTCCTAACCAAACGAAAAATTAATGGGACAAGAGACATTATAAACTGCGGATGGTCTGAAAAAAAAAAAAAATATATATATATATATATATATATATATATATATATATATATATATATATATATATATATATATATATATATATATATATATATATATATATATAAACTTATTAAAGAAAAAAATAATCAAGCCCCTTCCCGCTTTTTTTTTTTTGTTCTTTATTTTTGTAGACGTTATAAAGTATTAAACATAAATCGTTAACTCAAAACAAAGTTTTTTATGTTTTGTTCTTTTTTTAAACTTATTGAAATAAAACAAAATTATTAAAATAGTTGGAGTGAAATAGACTTATGAAATATACTTAATGACCAGTATACGGCAAGTCCACTATTCCACATATTTAACTCATCTCATGTTTTTTTAAATTTTTTAAACCGATGGTAATTAAGACATTTCAAGCGGGTATTCTTTTTTTTTTTTTTTTTTTTTTTTTTTTTAACATCTTCACTTCCAACAAGGCTGCAAGCAACCACTATAAGAGTTGGAAGTTACTGGAAGAGAAAAGACTAAATCTGTAGAGCAAGATAACGATTCTAAATATTATTTAGACAGCTACTAATATCTAATTAGTTGATAATATTATAATTATATGATAAATAGCAATTCGTGCAACAGCTACTGAAACGTTTAAAGATTTTCAAAGTTATTTAAACTTTAAAAAATAAACAATAAGTATAGTTTTTTTATATGGATAGAGTTATTTTTCTGCCGCCAACTAAAAAATATTGAAGTAAAGAATAAGGGATCGTCCATAAAGTACGTAGGCTTGGAGAGGAAGAGGAAGTTCGCAAATGGCGTATATGAGACGAAAGGGAAAGGGGGGCAGTTAATCAATTATAAAAGTATAGAGATACTAAATTACAAAAAATATCATAAAATGTTGGGTTGTTAGGTTAAACGCGTAATTACTTTTAGGGAGGTAGAGGGTACTTAAAAAAGCGTGTGGCAAAATGCTGGGGGGTAGTCGATAAAAAGGCGTACGTATTTTATGGACGACCCCTAAGTATAGAAAAGGTCGGCGTGGAATAGATTTACCAAGACCCGTATTTTACGGGTCCGGACAGCTAGTGCAAAAATATTTCAAAATCATAACCAAACCTTCCTTCCCCCTCCCCCCCCCCCCCCCCCCCCCCTTTAAAAAAATTCCTGTTTCCGTCACTGACACGGGGGTTTCATTCTAATGAAAGTTAAACATACTTATGCGTTTTAAAACTATTTTAGTATAACGATGCAGTTATAAATAAAATAATTTATAAAAAAAATATACTATTTACTAAATTTTAAAATTTTTTGATTTTTAAAATAATTAATAAACAAAGTGATTTTTAAAATGTAGCTTCCATAACAATTTACATAGCAACTACTTTGTTTTTAAAATGACGGTTTTGAAAAAAAGAACACTAAGCTATCGCATAAAATAATGTAGTATAGCAGGGTATAAAATTTACTTGCAACAAATACTTGCTTAAAGTAAAATGGTTCTGCCATTACTTCCAGGGATTTCATTTGATCATAAAGTATGAATATGTTTCTTTTTTTGTTGAAGAAAGTTACTTTTATTATGTTTAACTTAGAATTATGTCAAAGCTAGATATAGAAATCAAAGTTTAAGACTTAAACTTTGATTTAAACCACTTAAATTAAGTGGTTTAGTTTTTTTATTAAGCCACTTCAATATTTCTTATTAAAAGATAAATAAATTAATTTTAATTACGCACATGTGTTATTTCACTTATAACAAGTTAACTCTCACTCCATTATTTAAAAAATCACTCCATTATTTCTACCTAAAAGGTTACGCTTAACTTTAGTTTTTGGTTTTTTACTTTCTATCTTTTGACTTATTTTTATTATGGTTTATTTTATTTTAATTTTATTTTTAATATTTTATTTTAAATAATTATTTTTACTTATTTTATTATAATTTTTGTTTAAGTATATGTGCATATATGAATGTACATTATATCAATTGTTATATGTATTAAAAAGTCTGATTTTTTTTGGTATAATTAAATTTGATATAATAAAATAAATTTTTATGCAATTTTACTTTTATTAGTTAATATTATGTTTACTTATTTAACTTAACTTCCTTTTATAACCTACTTTTTTATGTGGTTTTACTTATTACATATTATTATTATTATTGTTGTTATTATTTTTTATCTTATTTAGGTAATTCCGCTTTATTAGTGAATCACTATTTGTAATGACCTGTGTTTTTGTAACATCTGAAACACAAAATATATTGTAATTGTTATTGTTGAATTAAAAAAGTTTAAGAGTTAAAAAAAAAACATAAATTTAAAAAAATTTGAAAAAAAAATTTCATAAAGTATAAATTAATTACTTTGAATTGGTCCTATAATAGGAGCACAAATCAGTTCATACTATAAACTGATATATGCTCCTATTATTGGGTCAATTAAAATTATTCAATTTTCACAGAAAGAGTAAGTTTAACAACTATAAACTTTATAGTTATTAAACTTACTCATTCTATGGAAATTAAACAAATTTAACATTATTGATTGTATGATTGCTGATCATAAGTTCTATGTTAATTACAACTTTCATACTTTTAAACTAGACCAACAAGAGAACTAGACTAGCTAATAACAGGATACAAAAACTGATAGATTCTTTATGATAAAGGTTCAAAGAAAAGTTTTTGTTTATAAGTTTGAAAAAAAAAAGTTTATATTCTAAAATTATAGAGCTATATGTAAGTGTGATTAAAGTTTTAAAAAAAAAAGTTCAAAGATACTAAATATTTAAGGAAATTCTTGTAAAACTAATATTAAGTTGACAATAGTATATATACAAATCTTTTATGAATGCGAAGTTGAAATTAAAAAGAAATTATTACTTTGACTTGTATGAAAATCTATTAACTTTATTATATAAAAATAAAGAGAAAATTTTAAAAGAAAAAAACTGAACTAATGTAATAGAAATAAAAATACTTTGTTATAACCAAAAACCCAATGCTCAACATATCTATATTATATCTATACAGGCTTGGGCAGGAATGGTGTGCAAATGCTATTGCTGACCACGCAAATGATTTTTTTTGTTGAAAACTTTACCACAACTGTTTAAATGTTTGATTTAAACATATTAGAAATACACTGAAAAAAGATATGCTAAGCTAAACAGTTTAGCTTGGCGTTTAGACTTATTATTTTGTTCAAAGTATTTTAAAAAACTTAATATTATGAAAAATTTTTAGAAAGACATGGAAAAGTAGTTTCAAATGTTTAAATTTATCATAAAAAATAAATGCCTAATAAAAAAATTTACATATTTAATTTACGCTAAATACGTTTATTTTAAATGATCATTGTAATTAATTTCACTTTGGAATTGTTTCAAATTTTTTAAATGTTTAAATAATAGTGAATTTGAAACCTAAAATTTTTTTTGAAATTTTAAGTTCCAAATTTAAAATTATTTAAACTAGAGAACTATAGAAGACTAAAATTTTCTTCAATTTTTTCAAGATTTCTTGCTCATTTCTTTTATTGTCATAAAAAATATAAAAATCTTTTCAAAAAATGGTATTGTGTTTTTCATATTCTATTTGAAATTTCTTGTTAAAATAATTTTTAGTTAAGCTTGTGTTAACAATATATAAGATATAAATATTGCTATAGTTAACTTTTGCAAGTATCTTTATATATAAATATCTTTGAGCATATTAATATTCAGTAACTTAACTTTAAAATCGTTTTCATTTACATTATAGGTAAATTTAGTATGAAGTATCCAAAGTACATCATGCTAAATTTAAAGTAAAATAGGAAACTATTGGCCTCCACGCAGAAATGGTTTAAGTATTTAAATAGTTTTTAAAAATCTGAAGTTCTATAGGTTGAATTAAAAATCTCTGTATCTTGTACAGAGATTTTTAATTCAAACTATAGAACTATAGAGAGAAAATGATCTCATGCTTCTATTTAAAAGTTATTTTTAGTGTGATGCACTTTATGGATGACCCAAACCTCAGACCAAAACTTTTATTCTATTTTTTTAAGAATGGCAAAAAAAATTTAAATTAGTAAAGAAAAATCAATAAGATAAAAAAATAGATTGCATAAATGTTTAAAAATATTATTAATAATGTCTCTGAAAATTTGATCACAGAAAAATAGCATTAATCTACATAAAAATTTTGCATCTGTGAAGCCCACAATAGCAAAGTTGGAGTTCTTATCTGGACTAGAAGGGAGCCACATGTCCAGTGACCACAAGTGAGGAATATTCTCTTGGAGAAAGACTACAGTTTTCTTGGCACTATGAGCAGATGCAGAATCTTGCATGAATGCCCATGGATCATTACCAAACTTTTTCTTGGCTCAAGGCAACAAGTTAACATTTATAAAAACAACATAAGTTGTTTGGTTCACCTTTGAGAACAAAGACAAGTGGAGTTTTTGAGCCATCTGAACAAACCCCACCAGATACCATTACTCCTATAGGTTGTTGTCTTCTTAGTATAGTCTGAATTTTCAATGGAACTGTTCTTCTAGACTTCCCTTGAACTCTTTTGTTGTATCTGTTGGGCTTAGGCAAGATTGTTAAGATTTTTTTGTCACTGTAGACAACTGGTGACAACACTTGGGAGGGTTTTGAACTATCCTAGAAGCTGCTTTGCTCTTTTTTGTTGTTTAGCTCTTGTAGCCTCCATCAAAAGTTATCTATTTGACTTTAGAAAGCTCTTCATACCTAAGTCTTCATAGATGACTCGTTGCAATGTTCTCCTTGACACACAAGCCTCTCTAGCTAAGTTAGATATTGATTGATTTTTTTGCACTTTGCATTCAACAGAATTTTGAAAATTCTTTAGTTCTTACAAATCTTCTTGGGTCTGTCTGCTTCAGTTTACCATTCCTACCTTTTTGATCTGGTAAACATTTGAATTATGATGCTGTTCTTTTACTGCTTTGCAAATTTTGCTTATCTTTACACCTGGCTTCCAGAGTGAAGAAACAAGTTTTCTTACTTTTTCTTTTTTCAGATGATTAATTCAACCCTTTTTTTTAATAATTTATAAAAATCACCAATATTTTTTATTATTAACCAGTTAGTTCGTCATTGATTTTCCCGCCAAATTTGTTTTTCCCAAATTTGCAGCTTTTTTCATATAGTAAAACTGGTGCCCTGACAATAATTTTTGTATATCACTTTTTGTTCACCTTGTTTAGTTTTATCCAAAAATAAAGTAATTGATTTAAAATAGGTTCTCATTTTAAAAAACATTTCTTTAATTACATGAATTTAATGCTGGATGTAATCCTATGCTACTTTACTTATGCTAAGAAAAACTATTTTGTTGTATTTAATATTTTAATAAATATTTATTGAAAATTGTTTAAAATATTTTAAATATTTATAACTATATTTTAGTAAATTTAATTTTAGTAGTTGTTAAATGTTTAAAATTTTTAATCAATATTTTTTAATCAATATTTACAAATAGCGTAGTAATTGCAAAATTAAAATAATAGTAATTACGCTTAAACACTTATGTCTTGTAATCGAATAATATAAAATATGTATGTACATATGCAATTACAAATTAGTAGAAAATCACGTAGCAAAATTTCCTTTTAGTTTATTGGTTACCTCAAAAAGTGAGATTGAACATGTAAGCAAAATTAAATTGAACAAAATTAATAATATTCTTAGAAATAAATTAAATTTGCAACAGTGGAAAAATACCACTGATGTTTTAAATTGGTTCTCCATAATCGATAATAAAAATGACTGTACATTTATTCAATTTGATATTAATGATTTTTACCCCTCAATAACTGCAGATATTTTAGATAAAACAATTGAATTTGCAAAAAACCACACAGTTATTCCTGAAGAAACAGTTCGCATATTAAAACATTGTAGAAAAACCTTACTTTATTTTAATAAGGAAACTTGGAAAAAGAAAAACATACATAACTGCTTTGATGTAAAAATGGGCAGTTATGAGGGAGCAGAAATTTGTGAATTTGTTGGATTATATATTTTAGATTTATTAAGTAAAATAATCAATATAAATGATTTAGGCCTTTATCGTGACGATGGTTTAATAGTAATGCGTAAAAAATCTGGTCCATATCTTGATAAAATTAGAAAAGATATTATAAAAATTTTTAAAAATATTGGCTTTCAAATTGAAATAAACATAAATTTAAAAATTGTGAACTTTCTTGATGTCACATTTAACCTCTCGGAAAATACATATAAGCCTTTCAAAAAACCAAATGATGAATTATTGTATATTTTTTTATTTGCATTCACTCCCAACAAGGCTGCAAGCAACCACTATTAAGTTGGGAGTTACTAGGAAAAAAAAGAACAAAGTTATAGAGCAAGGAAACGGTTGACAGAAGACTTGAAAAGTTGAAGGTTGTATGAGTCAGGAAAACATAAAGATGGGAGAGAGTTCCAAAAGATTGAAGTGCGGGGAAAAAAACTAGATGAATAAAAGTTTTTAGAGCATGCAGGGACAGATACA